TTGGTGCCTACTACCATGTTGGTGGACCCAGCGTATCATTTCCTGCCGTGCACAAAGAACAGGAGGGCTTTGTTGAGCTTTCTATCCTGGCCTAACAGCTGCAGAATATCAGTGAAGTACATATCTGGAAGTCTGAAGCAAGGCTGTGTGGACATGCGCATCTTCAAGTGTCTTTTCTACCTTGTAGTCCCAGGGTGACCAATTATTTGGGCCTGTGGGCTGCATAGGTAGTTCTGGGGAGCTGCTGCAAGCTGGTCACCCTCCCCCCACCTTTCTTGCAACAGCTTGGAGTCTGTACCAGGGTGGATAAAAATCAACAATTAAACAAATAATAAATAATTGTATTTTTTTAAGTCAGATTTTCATTTAATTGCATCTCTTATTTTTTTGTTAAGGTGCTTTGTAAAAAAAAAAAAACAAAAAACAAAAAAAACACAAAAAAACAACCTGTATAAAGATAGTAAATGGTCAAAGGTTTGTCATGAAATAGGAATTATAACCTCTAATTATCCACTATGTGAGACTATATATTCATGCAACCTTTTTAAAAAAAAGTTCTATGAATAGGTCACAACAGGCCATGGGCTATATTAGGGGTCCAGTCTTACGGGGTTCCCAGAGGTTCCTCTGTCGATTAGTAAAGACTAAAGAAAACCACTCTATCCAGTGGGACTCAGTGCTCAGTCTAGAACAGGGGTTCCCAACATTTATGTGCCCAAGGGCACATTTCTTTTTTAAAAGAAAAAGCACCAGGTGCCAATATGAGTGTTAAAGTTTAGACTCTAGATCAATCTGATCATCTCATCTATTAGGTAAAACTGCATTAGATCCACAGCTTCAAAATGCTGCTTCCCTTTACTTTGTATTCTTTCAAAGTTTTATCCATACTGCCTGTGGGCACCACGCTGGGAAACCGCTGGTCCTCTTAAGCATCTCTGTGATGCTTAGTTCTGGTTCTTAAACTGTGGATTTTTGTCTCTAGAGATAACATCTTTGTTAACAGCAGTATATGGAGATGAGAGAGAAGACCTGATTACCCACCCATAAACCCTATTGTGTGTCTGCAAGTTTGTGTACAGAGTCAAGCCTTTACCTCTCTCTCAAATTGCAAAGTTTCAAGAAGTTAAATGAATGAAGGATTGTTGGGGGTTGAGTAGATCTGGGCAAGAAGGAGTAGTCTGGAGATAAATGCAAATGCAAATAAAAGAGAAACATTTTGAGCAGAACATGCCAGAAGTCTTGAGGGATACGTTTCTGAGTTTATCCTCTCCATTAATTTGAGAACTGGTGAGGCAATAGTATGGTAGAAGGAGACACCTATCATGGCAACAGGTTTGCCAGACTGTAATAAGGAAAAGAAATCTAGAAGGTGAAGAAAGCCCCAAGCTAATAACTATGGCTGCAGTGCTCGTTTGATGTCTTCCTAATACACTGTGGCAAAAGTATCCCCCAAATATCCGTGATTAATCTAGTGAATTGAAGATCGTTTACCTCCAAATGACTTCACAAGTATCTGCTTCAGTTAACTTTGGTAAATACAATAAATGAATCGCAATTCATTTTTCTGATGTAGCTACAAAATTGATCTGAAAAAATATCAAAATAAATTTAATGCTTGAAAATGTATAGAGCATCAGTGGTCTCTGACCTTTTTAAGTAGGAGATCACCTTTTGTCATTTAAAAGCAACCCAAGATCTACTGTGTGCCAGAAGGTAAGTCTGTGGGGTGGGAAGAGGGGGGTGGCAGATTGAGGCAGAGGGAGAAAAAATTATTTGGGGCATGCCTCCCCAGCAGCAGGTAAGTCCCACCTGGGCAGGGCCCCACTGAACTTACCCCAGCTCCTGCCTTTGCAGTACTGTCCCTCACTTCAGGGCCCTCAATCCAGCCCCCGCCCCTTCCCTTCCCCATGGAACGACCTGCTGGGCTGGGGCGTATGCATGCACGCAGGCACTCAGCCCCTCCATGCTCCCCCACCCCAGCCTTGGATTGACTCTAAGAGGCTCCAAGATCCACTGGTGGATTGAGATCCACTGGTTGGTGACCACTGGTATAGAGTGTATCTTCTAGAAATGAAACCTACATCTATCTCTGAGTTGTGAATAATATGTATTAAGGTTATATTAAACAAGAATGCACTTTTTTGTAGAAAACAATGATTAAATCGAGGCCTCCTGACCAGTACTTTAAATCTATTTGATTTTTAAATCAAATCTACCCTGCCACATCCTGCAGCTCCTCACTGCCAACAGCACATTGCCCCCACCCTGACCCAGGTCTACCCCATGCCCACTCTGGATTTGCCCTGGCTGGAGCAAACCCATATGCACAGCCCCCACCCTGCGCCTGCTGCGGAACGCATGCCTGTGCTGAGCAGTGATGGCAGCCAGGCAGAAGTTGCTGCTCAGTGGAGGTGAAAAGCAGCCCTACCCCATCACTGCTTTTGAGCCCTTCTTGGTGCAGCTGCCTGGAGCCTGTACCTGGGCTGCCCTATGGCTCCTCTCTGCCATCATCACTGCCGCCTCCAGGCTGCCACAGCAGTGGCAGTCCAGAGGAGCTGCACTGTAGTCTGTGGGTAAGGTGGCTGCTGAAAACATAGGTAGATGGGGACTTTTGGTTTTCTTCATACTTAAAAAAACAAGAAGTAACTTGGCTGTCTGATGTGTACTTCTCTAGCCTATGTAAGCACAAGTTTTTACTGATTTCCTTGTTCTCCTTCCTCGTGCCTTCTGGGGCGGGCAGAGGCCGTCTTTTTTTTTTAATGTTGTATCCCGACTTGAAATTCATTTTAAGTAGTAGGGGGCAAACTTCCATGTTTAATTGTGGTCTGTAGGCAGGACTATGTACTCCCCATAATTCAGAACAGAAAAATTCATGCATGTCAAAATTCAAGAGAAGAATATCACCTTTAGTAATAAGCTTTTTCAACTCCATGCTATATTATTGCATTCATTGCCTTTTGAGGAAATATGCTGTCTTTTTAGGCCCCCTGTTATCCCTGTCCTTTGCATCTCTTCCTTCGTCCATTTCTCTCTCCTTTATTTTCCCCTCTACATTTTCTTTCCTATAGCAATTCCTAGTTCTTCTCTTTGTGGCCTTTATTTCCATCTCATTATTCCACCTACCATAATGATCATCAGTGAAATAATCAATTTCGTAGCCAGAAAGACTTGAAATGTACTTTTTTTTAATATGAAAGCTGAGTTTTGGCACAGTGTGGATTTGTTCTGCAGTCTACAGAAATACACTGCTGGACAGATCAGGCCTTCAAAACTGTTTGATGCCCAGTATGTAATAAATGAAACCCTTATAGACTCTGTTGTTCAACCACGGTACAAAAATTGCAAAATTACTAAAGCATTTTCCTATTTCTTATAATCTAGGCAGAAGTCAGGGTAGAATTGCACCTTTTAGACTAACTAAATCAGATACATAACAAGCTTTTGTAAGCAGCAGCTTACTTCATCTAGGCTCATTAAAGTGGTATAACCCGTAGTCAGCAAAAAATGTACTTTTTATTAATGCAACTTTGACTTACTGATTTTAACACTGTAGAGTAGGGTTTTTGTTTTCTTAAAACAAAATTTGGTTTTATTTTACTTTTTTTCATTTCACTCTGCACAAACAGTAGCCTAACTGAGGGTAGACAAAGAAGGGCACAAACCCCAGATGCTGGAATAACTAAGACGGGGAGCTTGAGGCTCCAGCCACAGGCAACTAAGTGGGGTCAGCAATCCCCTTATCACCGCCCCTACCCTCTGCTCTTGCTGTGAGGGGAGGTGTCAAGGGCCAGTGCCAGCAGCCAAGTTATTCTTCCTAGCTCTGAAGCCACCCATGAATTAAGGGATTTGGATTCTCACTCACCACATAAAACTGCAGCAGTTGGAAGGCCAAGGGAGGAAAAACCTGGCTGTTGGCAGTGACCCCTCCCCCAGAGCAGGACCCTGCTCTGCTCTTTATGGCCAAAGCCTTGAACCCCTGCATTCTGGCACCCCAAAATACAGATCCTATTGGGTAAGAGACTGCTGCCCAGCATGCAAATTCTGCCAGTTATGTCTCTCTGCACAAGAATAAACAATTACTATTTGTAGAGGATATGTCAAAAGATGACTGAGGCTTTTAAAGCTATTCAGCCCATGAACTTGTGAAAATTGGGCTGCTGGTTGGCATGCTTCAAAATTCTTCAGTGCTGTTCATCAGTGGGTGGCAGGTGATGCACAAGGAGTAAATTAGCAGTGAAATAATTATCACAAGCAAGTAAAACAGTCTTCTGCTTCACATGACTCGGGTGCCTATAATTATTAGAGGATGGTATCTAATTTTCATTTGTTACTCAGCATTGTCCATATTTGGTGCTGACAATACATGTTTCTGTTCTCATAGCTTATTAACTTTACATTCCTGAAAGTTTTGCAGTTCAGGTTCTGGAATGAAAATGTGTGCTCAGCTATAACAAGGAATCTTTTTTTGAGGCATGCTTGACATTTCTTACAGAAATTAAACAAAATATAGTAATTTTAACTTGTTAGTTGCTTCGCATTCCCATTTCTCTGTTGCTTGATTGCCTTCACTATTAGGAGAGTGTTCTAAATGATGTTTAGTACTGGTAAGCCACTATATGTTTGCAGTTCAAGGTAGTATCTCTTGAAGCATCAGTATATAGAGCATACCTGCATGAACTGTGTTTACTCCAATAGGCTGTAAGTGCTATGTGCTCAATAATGCTTTTACACTGTATCTAGGAAAAGTCCAGAGTCTGTGGATGACAGAATTCATTTAATGCTTGTGTAAGTGTCAACCCTAAAAATACTGCAAGAGAAACTTCTATTGCACACACCTGACCTTATTCTTTGGAATCAGGAATACTCATTTCTGATGGTGTGAGTCTTTATTAACAAAATCTTGAGCAGACTGTCAAACATAAATGTTAAAGTTCCTGGGTGGTGTTGTGTTGGGAAGAGATTCCCATTGCTAACATATATTCCTTGTTTTGTGCTTGCAGGAAAGGCTAAAGCTGGTGACTGTCCTGGGTGCTGGGCTCCTCTGTGGAACTGCCCTGGCTGTGATTGTACCAGAAGGAGTACATGCACTTTATGAAGATATCCTGGAGGGTGAGAAACAGACCAGCTTTTATAGATGTCCCTGTGAAAGGCAACAAAGATAGCCTGACAGTTGTCTAAAAACAATTAAAGTTCTTCCTCCATTACCAGAACATCACAGCAGTTGCTTTTGAAAAGAAGTTAATATGTGTTTTATAGACTGCTACTTTCTGTGGTTTAAGTCCTTTTCAGTTGTTATAACATCTATAAGGGTTTTATAGATCTTCATTAAGTGTGCACCAACAAAGATTTTTTTTTTTTTGGACCAGTATCTGGCCAATACCAATCCAGTTGCTGATATGCAGCTGGCTCCGGGGCTGGAGCAGGTGCTGTACAACTGGGGCGAAGTGCGGGACAGGTGCAGCTCGTCCAGGGGCAGCTCCTGCCACTGTGCACACCCTGGGACAGCATGGGGGGGGTGGGGCATGTGCTGCTGCACACCCCCT